GTACGGTATGTGTTTGAAGCCACCAGCTTGCAATCGAATCTCTGACCGAAGCCTTGCGCACCTCGTTGGGAACGCGTGCCTCTTTGACGCGAAGTGCTGGGCCCTGAGCTCTTCCAAGTGATGCTGCCACAGACTTGGGTAGCTCGTTTCCTGCCGGCCTGTGGCGTGCTAAAGTCGTCCGCTCAGCTGCTGAAGCCCAGGTCGCAAACGCGGAGCTGACGGCCAGAACTGGCTTGAGCCCACCAGCCAAAACGGCTACAGACTGAGCGATGGGAGGCCACATGTGCGCTTCCGTCTGAGTGATCTGCCCAACCAAAGCACGCTCAGTGTTCCAGGTGCTCTCAGGAATGTGAAACGAGGGCCCTTCAGACTCCCCATTACCGGAGGAGCGTAAGCCCCGGGTTTGCCAGGACTCGGGTTCGCCATCGTTTTTTGACGACCGCGACTCGGATTTTGACGAGTAGGAGTTTCGTGGGATGTCTGCAGCGGGAGGCCTCGTCAAAATGCAGGCTCGGCCTCGTCATCTTTTTGACGACCTCGTCGGGGATTTCTGAGTCCCCTGTGCCCGGGTCTTACGCCCCCCTGACATTAGGCTCCCGGGGGGGGGGCCCCAACGGCGGGGTCGGGGTAGCTTTCAATTGCGTTCCTGTGACACCTACATGTGAATTAGTCTGCACCTCTGGCTCAGCTGCTTGGGGCGGCCCAGGGTCGGGAGGAGGGAGGACCGCAGCGGCAGCAGGAGGGGCAGCGGAGGACGAGGGAGGGGGAGGCACGTGTCTGAACTCAGACTCGTGCACCCAAGGGTCTTCCTCGGGGTCATCTTCCCGCTCTGCGGCCGACTCGCCCTGCAGCAACAAATCAAAATCTTGCGGGTGCTCATCCTGAGGCTCTGTGGTCTCGGGTTCCGCATCCCCAAGCAAGGCTGTGTACAATGCAGTGCGCCGCTCACTTGCGAGGCGCTTCTGCTCAGGCTGCTGCTTCCTCGCCTCCGAAGACTTGGACCCAGGAGTGGCTTCTTTCTTGGGCCTCTCAACCTGGGGGGCCTAGCAGGGAGCTCCAGGGCTCTGACTAAGAGCTGGGATCCAGAGCCTTTACAGCGAAGGTGGAATCCTATGCGAGTCTTCCAGGGTACTTGCAGGACAGGGGTGATGGGGATGAGATAAGGGAGGCATGCGTTGCTGGCTATAGCGTAATCAATCAGCGATCCTGTCGAGCCAGCTGTACATGTTGTCACAAGATCTCCCGTGTATACTCTTCCTCCTATCGCCGAAACACAATCTGTCTTCGCACGCACCGTCTATGGAATATTGAAATCCCCTATGGTAAGCCAAGGCAGTTGAAGCGCACGGACCAGACTGCCGAGCTTGTGGTAGCGCACCAAACTGTCGCCTGTCATTCCTATCGATGATAGGCCATAGAACACTGTGATGACCAGGCTGTACCCCTTGAAGTGCACGACCGTCGGGCAGAAGCCGTCAGTGGCGCTACGCTTGCGCGCCTTGAAACCCCTATGTTGAACGGCGGCCAGTTCGTGTACTTGCCGGTGCCCTCTTGTGAGAAACCATTCGCCGCCCTCATTGGCCCTGCCTTCGGTCTTCTGGGACTGGGCTTGGCCAGAGGGCCGCGCGCTGTTGGCGATGAGTGCATCCCAATCGCCTGCGCCTCTTTGTGCCAGCGCCGCACTGCATCTGCTGCCACGTGTGTCTCCACGAAGGCCCAAAAGTGATGCTGGTCGGCGTTCTCTGAGAAATATTGCCAAGCTTGAGACGTCTTGGCCGATGTCCCCATGCTGGTGATGTTGGCGAAAAGCAAGCTGCACTCTTCTGGTTGAGGCCCGTCAACGCCATGTGAAAGATTACTTGGTACTGCTTGCGGCACTGGCACCGAGCTCGGAGCTGAGGTTCCCGTAACCTGCTGTCCCGAACTGGTAGCCGCCGCTGACGGAGTATATACTGGAGCTGAACACTGTGCACAATCTGCCACAGTAGCTGACCGTCCTGCAAAGATGATCTCCTCGCAGCTAGTCTTGGGGAAGATCGCGTCGAAGAGGTTCGCAATTGTGACGCTGGAGCTGGCGTCGCCGAGGGTCGGCGCGTCCAGCTCCTGGCTGCATGGAGGCCCCGACTGTGCTCCTCACTTGGCGCCGTCGGCGGGGCCGTTGCCACGGCTCGCCTTGGTGCCCTTGCCCGCTGTCACTGCCTCGAGCGCATCGGCCTGGGCGCGCCGCCGCGATCTTGCTCGCCGAGAGGGCGGCGGCAGCGGCCTGGAGCTGGTACCTTCTCCTGGCTCCCGCCCGCGGCGTCTGCCGTAGCGCTTGCCGCGGCGCCTGCGCCGCCTGCGCCCCCGCTGGCCGCGGCCGCGGCGGCCGCAACGCCCTCTGGAGGCGCCTGGGCGGTCTCGGCACTGGTCGCCTGAGCCTCGGTCTGCTTGCCCTCGGCCTCCGTCTTGCGCTTCTTCCCCGTGCGCACGTGGATATCATCGAACAACTCCTTGGCTCTGGCGATGCGATTCTGCACGTCGTCGCCCTTTGCCGCCAAGTGCTTCTTGAAATCCTGCAACTCCTGATGTATCTTCTTGAGATCGCCCCGTTCGCCTGGCTCGATGCAACATCCTCCAGGCCTGTGAACAGGGACTCGTCCCATATGATGTCGAAGGCGACGTCGTCTGACTGCTCGGCGCCGCTGTCGACCTCCTTCGCGAACGCCACTGTGGCCTGCTTCCTGGCGACCTCAGCCTGCGCTAAGACCAGCGCTCCCGCTCTTTGGCCCTCCGAAGGTTGGCCTCACAGCGGACGACGGCGGCGACGGCCTGGTCGCGCTTGGCATTCGCGTCTCTCCACTGCCCAGACGCTCGCTTGACTGCCTCCTCCACCGTGGAGGCCCTGCTGTTCGCCGTCGGCGGGTTCAGCTGAGCCTGGAGCGCCTCCGTCACCTGGGCGAGGTGAGGCGCGGCGACCGTAGTCGCGAGGCCTTTGATGGGGCCCTCCACGATGGCCTGCGTCTGCTGCTGCTGCGACTGCATCTGCTGCTGCTGCTGCTGATCTCGCTGAACGCGGTTGTCGCGTCCTGGCTTGTGCAACGGGGTGCCCAGGTGAAGTTCGACCACGTTGCTACACTTGTTGCAGCGGCACTGTCGACTCTTGAGGCTCTTGTTCCAGTCCCACGCGCCGCAGGTGCCACATCTGGACCACTGCTGCTGCTGCTGCTGCTGGCCTCGAGTCATCTCGTGGTCACAATTCGCACTATCTTGCCAACCGTCTCGCTGTGACAACTGGTGTGTCGCAGAGAAACGGTGCCCCTCAAGCGCCACGGGGAGGTATAGTGCTGGACTGAGAACCGCCCCCGCGCGGGTGCGGAGGACTTGGTGCTCGAGCCCAAGTTGCCTGAGCCAGGGGGGAGTTTGCCGATGTCGACGTTCAGTTCTCAGATTTGAAGTGCTCGAGCAAAGCTGGTCTCTGCTGTCGTTCGGGAAAGCCTCGCGAGCAGCTGGAGGGGAAAGGCGCGGGCGGTTGGAAACAAACAACGCGAAGCACTACCCATCAAAACTGTGCTCTGCTGTTGCCAACGCATTTCGGATACTGTGGGCGCGACGCGATGTGGCGTGTTCTGCTATGATGTTATCCCCGAGAAAATGTTGAAAGGCTTCTCCCGCCTCATCCTGCCCAATCCAACACATTCCTGGTAACAGGGTCTACTCTGGATGGGGCATGGGGCACTCTTTCAATCGATTGTAGTAGCGTTTGGTGGCCAGCCCCGCAGTGTCTCGCTCTGGGGTATCACTCGATTGGCCAGTTGGAAATATCATGTTCGTGCGTGCGCAGTATTGATCTCTACACGGCCGTCCAATGACACGAATGAGGGGTTCGAGGAGCAGCAGTAACTTCGTGCCCGTCCTCCCGCGCGTTTAGCGTTTTGCTGTTCCCGTCCCACCTTCCCTGGGACACTCGTTCAATAGATTGTAGTGGCTTCTGGTGGCAAGCCCCGCAGTGTATCGCTCTGGCATATCAATCGAGTGGCCACTTGGAAACATGAGGATGCTGATGCGGATGCTGATGATGATGCTGCTGATGATGGCGATGCTGAAGACGAGGAAGAATGAAGAGGACGATGACGCAGACGATGAGGAAGATGAGGATTCTGATGACGAGATGGACGACAGGCATGATGAGGTGCTTGGCCGTCACATTACGACGGGGTATGTTGGAAAGGGGGGCAGGGTCATGAGGCACGGGGATGGGTTTCCCAGGGGGCGGGGAGAGTTGGGTAAAGTTCCCTTCGCATGTCAGGCGGGTGAGATCCTGAAAAACATTGCATGTGCCAGTGGACGCAGGAATGACGCATGACGGGCAAGGACATGAGATGCAAAGAGGGGAGCGATGATGGTGCCCAGGCGGATTGCCAACAGCAGCGCGAGATGATGTTGATGATGTTGTCGATGCTGTCGATAATGGTTGCGATGATAATGGTGATGGTGATGGTAATGGTGATGGTGATGATGATGTTGATAGTGTTTGGGACGACGACTGTGCGGATGATGAGGATTATGAGGAGCTAATGCTTGAGATGATCATGATGAGTTGAACGATGACGATGATGATGACGATTACGACGACGACGATGCCGACGCCGAGGGCGACGATGACGATGTGGATGATGTTGATGATGTTGAGGATAATTATACGGATGTTGATGCTGATGATGTTGATGATGTTGGTGATTATGATGATGATCGTGATGGTGACGATGATGATTATGATGGTGATGACGCTGTTAAGCGATGAGGGTGATGATGATGATGCAGGTGATGATAGTAGTAGTGATATTGATGATGATCATGATCATGGTGATGGTGATGGTGGTGTGATGGTGGTGGTGGTGGTGGTGAAGAGGAGGAGGGGGAGGAGGAGGAGGAGGAGGAGGAGGACGACGATAAAGGAAGAGGAAGAGGAGAGGCGGAGGATGACGAGGGAGGATGAGACAGGGAGGGAATGTGGATATCAGGTAAGAAGGGAAGGGTATGGGTCTCGGATTGGCACCGTTTTTTGGATGCCTTGCTTGGATCGGCCGTAACAGGCCGTCGGTCCGGGCAGCCAAATCAACAGTGATAGTCTAGATTCGGTTTCCTTCTCCTCCCCCTCCTCCTCCCCTCCAATTTTTCCTAATCCTTCCTCGCCTACCTCCTCCCACCTGCTCCTCCTGCTCCCCTTGCTCTCCCTCCCCCCTTCCCCCCTCCCTTACTGGATGGTGCGTCTGTATGTGTGTGTGTGTGTGTGTGTGTGCGTGTGTGTGTGTGCGCGGCTTCGGCCGACACCATCCGGCATGGAGTGGCGCCTGCCCGCGAACGCTCAAACTGTGTGTGTGCCTTTGCCCGTCTAGACGCGCGGCCGGCTTCTCCGACTCCTCCCCGTCGGTGCGCGCGTGGCCGCGGCTGGGATTTCGCCCCGCCGCTCTCTGAGCGGATCTGCCTCCTTCACAACGTCGTATGCAGTCGGCCATCGCGGCCGTGGTGTCACGTCGCTGGCGGGGAAGAGGTTCGTGTCTGTGCGCGCGCGAACATTGCCATCACTGTGTGTGTGTGTGCTGTCCGCCTTTTGCAGGATCTTCTCTGACGCTCGGCCCCTCCGCGAAGCCGACGGGCTTAAGTTCCGCGTATATTTCCAGGCGCGCCTTTGGCCCCTCAACATGCTGCGGCATTTTCGCCGCACTGCCTCGCCCACCTCTCCATCTCCCCCCCCCCTCATCCGCTGAATCAGACATGGTGGGACCATCATGGATCATTTTTCTTACAGCACATGCGTCGATATATGGACTCGGGCACTTGCGTCCACACCGACGGGTAACGATTCATACCAACAGATAGCCGTTTTTGTTTCTTCACATGTACGTGCCGATGTGTTGCGACGACCAGTTCATCATCATCACGTTCTCTGGCTTCGTCTTCTTCGGCTCCGACTCCGGCTCCGTCGTGCAGATGGTCCACAACTGGCCGGACACGAATGCCGGCCCACAAATACCTACCTCCACCCTCCGATTGTGCATTCCCGCCCCCATCCGCTCATGACGTCCACTCCCACCTCCACCTATGGACCTCTGACCTCCACTTGCTCAGCGCTCCGACCTCCAGCATCAAGCATTTGACTCTTCACTACTACCTCCTCGCATCGCGCCCCAGACCCCGCAAGCTCAGCCCCCCGACCTCCAGCCTCCAACCTCCGACTTTCCACCTCCACATCCACCTATCGACCGTCTGTCTCTGACAGCTCCACACTCCGACCTCCATCACCCAGCATCTGACTTCCACTCGCACCTTCACCTATCCCTATCGACCTCCAGCCTCCACCAAATCGCCACTCCGACCTCCACCGTCGGACATCCGACTCTGCAGTCCTACATCCATTTATCGACCTTCAGGCTCCGCCAGTTCAACGCAGTGACTTCAAGCCTCCAGCATCCGACTTTCCACCTCCACCTCCACCTATCGACCTCCAGCGTCCACCAGCTCAGCACTCCGACCTCCAGCCTCCATCATCTGACTTTCCACCTCCACCTCCACCTATCGACCTCCAGCGTCCACAAGCTCAACACTCCGACCTCCGGCCTCCAGCATCCGACTTTCCACGCCCACCTCCACCAATCGACCTCCAGCGTCCACCATCTCAGCACTCCGACCTCCAGCCACCAGCATCCGATTTTTCCACTTCCATCTCCACCTATCGACCTCCCGCGACCACCATATCAGCTTTCCGACCTCCAACCTTCAGCATCCGACTTTCCATCTCCACCTCCACCTATCGACCTCCAGCATCCGACTTTCCACTTCCACGCCCATCTATCCGACCTATCACTCTCACCTCCACCCATAGGACTCCAGAATACACCAGACGTCCAAACATTCTACGTTTCACACCACTTTCATCCAGATCGACCGCCAGTCCCAGGCCGACTACTGAGGGCTCTGGCCCCCCCGCGCCGCCCTCCTAGGGCCAGTCCCGCTGGACCGTCATCGCGCGCTCGCTCGCTCGCTCGCCCTCCTCCGCAGGCTCCTCTCCCTCCTGTTCCCCCTCCTCCTTCTCGGCATTCTCCCTTTTCCTTTTTGCCCACGGTCTCGTTACGCTTTTGCTCCTACTCCAGCTTTTGCTCCTGCTCCTGCTCCGCTCCTTCCCGTCCTGTTCCTTTCCCCCTCCCTCCTTCCTGCCTCTCTCCTCCAACCTCCCCCACTCCTGTCTCTTGGCCATTACATTGATCCTCTTCATCGCCATCCTTGTCATCGTTCCACCTTTGTCTTATTCTTCTCCTTCTCCGCGTCATCCTCTTTCCCTCCCCCCTCGCTGCTCCATTCGGCAGAATGGTCGACGCAGATGTTTAGAGAGCCAGTTGGTTATGAAACAGTAGCGCTTGCGGTCGCGTGTGCTTGTGCTTCATTCTTGGCGCCGAACGCAAGAACCTAATGCGAAGAGAAGGATGATGAAGACCAGGGTCGTCTCACAGTGCTCCGCTCATTCTGAAATGTGCCCTTCCGTCCCACGGCCCCTCCTCATGAGGCAATGATTTGGACACGTTCTTTTCCTTACGGTGGCCCCCCCCTGGAAGCGTGAACTGCATGGTGAGACCCCCCTGCGTTTTGACATGGGCATCAGCGGTCGCAGTCATAGTTACAGTCAACCGCGCGAGGTTATACGCCACAGCGAGCTTGATCTGTGATCGCGAAGTCACGGTCATGATGTCTCTCGGCGGGACTTCATATTGAAGATGAACCGCCCTCCATTCGTGCATGTCTTGGAGCTTCCAAGTTCAAGGATCATGCGCTGGAAGGAGCCATCACGCGAATGCCAGGTGTTGCAGACGGGGCTGCTCTCCACCATAATGTTCAGGTGGACGCTCATAGAGCGTGGGGTGTTCTCAATCGAGAGCCACGAGACGGAACCACCATCCATCCGTCTAATAGTTGTGTGTTTCAATGGCTGCGACTCGAATGCTGAGGGAGTTTTGTGTCCCTGTATCCGTGTACTTACAGGTCACTGCGTGCTGCGATACAGCGGGAACCACTTTTCGAACGCTAGCGTTTCGCTATATGTGTAACCACGGCGTTTAAAACGAGTGTGTTCGCGGTCCAGGCGAGGACCATATTTTGAAGACGGGCCACACTCCATCCGTGTAGATTTCGGGAGGTTCTTCAAATTGAAGGGTGCGGCGCCGATACGGGAATCACGTGTTGAGAGCCAGCCACCGTCCGTTTGTCGAGTTCTCGGAAGTCCAAGTCTTAGGGTGTCGGATAGAATTTCTCAGGTGAAATATCCAGACCGCTGTACCAACACGTCTGGTGATGCGAAGAAAAAGGGTGAATTATCCAGCTACCAGTGGCGAACCCTGCCACCTTCGGGCACAACAAAAACCCACAACCACAACTAAGTGGATTTTTCGGGAGGCCCCCTCGGGGGAGAACCGACCGACCTCGACATAAGCACTTCGGTTGTGGTTGTGGTCAATTTGGCCGCCCTGGGACGCCACATCGACCACAGCCAGCACGAAACTGGTTCCTGTGCTCCGACATTTTTTGAATGCGCAAAACATTCCGCAGGGTGTGCCCTCGATGTGGCTGTTGTCGCGTGCTGTCCCCGCACCACCGTTTCCGCGCAGCAGCGAAGCCGAATGGAAGGTGGAGTTCAATACCCCAAGCGAACTGGCGCAGGTCTTAACCGCCCGCATTTTGTAGGAGGCGCACCTGTGCAACGTGTGTGTGTATGTGTGTGTGTGTGTATGTGTGTGTGTGTGTGTATGAGTGTGTGCGTGTGTGTTGCCACACATCGGCGTGCCCACCTCCTGCGGGATCGCCCTGCCGATTCCCACGGGGAAGATGGGCCGTTGCGGGCGGGTGGTCACGATTGGCCGATGCACTCGTGTCATGGGCGCTGCAGCGTGGCACTGCCATAGTGGTCTTCTGTGCACTTGCATGGCTGTCTGCAGCAGCGCGAAACGCCTATGGTGCGCAGCAAGCAGGAAGAGCGATCACCAGGGTATGTGACAGACCAGACCCAGGGAGCGGGCACCCAGTATCGAACACAAGAAAAAAGCGTCGGTGGGGTATTCGACAAACCAGAAGAGGGCGTGGGCACCCATAAATTTCGCACGTGCCTTCCCGAACTCCGTTGACGATTTGGCTCAAGTGCCGCTGTTTCCAGTTGTGCCCGCCTCCACTGCTAGTGCCTCGCTCCCCCTCAGCATGGATTCCTTGGTTGCAGCCGTGGATGGGGCGTCGATGGCCCCTGAGGTCCAGGCGGCGGTGGTTGTAGCAGCATTAGCGGAGGCTCGGTTTACCAACCCAGAGCATCTGGTCGGAACAGCGGACAGTGCAATTTGGGAACCTGCCGGCAAGCTCTCCTTCGAGAAGGGTGGCTTGCTCAAGCGCGCCTTGCTGAGGACGTGTCGGCGACCAAACGCGCGAAATCGTCGGCGAAGGCCTCCTCCGAACAGCCAGGCTCGTCCCAATGCTCCCAGGTCCCGAGCGCCTTCGCGGCAGGGTCCCTGATCAGCCTCGTTGGACTGGAGGCATCAGCAGGGGCATTGGCAAGTGACCAGACGGCGGGAAGTTCATTGGTGCTCCCGACGACAAGCATGAGAAGGCGGCGGTCGAAGTCCTACCGCACCACCTCAGGCCTCAGCCTGCGCCCTTCCAGCTGCTGGCCGCGGCGAACAAGTCGGCCAAGGAGGTCGTCCCATGCCGCAAGGCGTAGACGTACGTCGCCTTGACCCACAAGGACTTGCCCCCTTGATGGGACCTTTGGGGATGGGGTCTGAGGCGGCTGGGGGGCACGCGCCCAAACCTGGCGAGTTTGACTGGGGCCCCAACGCGGTTGCGGCGTCGCTGGGGGCGTTGGGGAGGGCCGTCAAAGGTGCTTTGGAGAAGCCCATGTACTTCCGCAGCCTGGCACAGTGGAAACCAGTTTGGCACCGCTACGCCATTGACGTGGTCGCCATGGGACAGTTGACATGGTCCGCGGCGCTGGCGCATGCGGACCACATGTGCAAGCTGGCGGAGGACGAGCGCACCTCTGGAAATGGCCCTGCTTTGGCTTTCGTCTACGACGAACTTTTCAGGAAGTCGAACGTGTTCGGGGCGGGCGGGCCGATCCGTCCTCAAGCCTCACGGCGACGTTCAGCGT